CCCTGTGTGTGTGTGTGTGTGTGTGTGTGTGTGTGTGTGTGTGTGTGTGTCCCTGCTAGAGATGAGCCCCTGTGTGTGTGTGTGTGTGTGTGCGTGTGTCTCTGCTGGAGATGAGCCCCTGCTGTGTGTGTGTATGTGTGTGTGCGTGCACGCGCGTGTGTGTGTGTCCCTGCTGGCAGGGACACACCCCACTCCCATAGCCTTGTGCCGGTCCGTGTGGCTGGCCCTGTGTGGGTGCGTTCAGTGCGCCTCTCCCTGACCAGGGCCTGCTGTCCCCTTGCCCACAGACGTGTCCCACACCCGCGGCCCCCTCGACGGCAGCCTCTACGCCAAGGTCAAGAAGCAGCGGCACCCGAGTGGCTTTTCCAGCGGTGGCGGCAGCCCTGGCAGCACGGAGACCACCCAGCAGGGCAGCCGCTTCCTGTCCATCAGCAGCGACTCCGGCCACTCCTCCATGCTGGCTGAGAAGCTGGACGAGCCCTCCCCGCCCGCCAAAGCACTGCCCACGCCGGCCGAGAGGGAGGAGCTGGACAGGCTCCTGGGGGGCTTCGGGGTCAAGGCCAGACCAGAGACCCCCAAGCAGCAGAGGGGGGGCTCCCCACCCCGGGACCTAGGGGGATACCCGCACAGCAACGGGGCCAAGGCCAGGGAGACGGCCATCTTGGAGGATGAGCTGGTGGAGATGAGCCCCTTGGGGCCGCTAGCGTACCCCAGCCGGCGTGCCCCAGCCCGTCACTGCTCCTGCCGCCTGGGCTACCGCTCACAGAGCTGCCCGGGCACTCACAGCCCTGAGAGGCTGCCCATCAGTGCCTACTACAGGCCCGAGGGCACCTTGGAGCGCCGGCGGCTGCTCTACAGCCCCAATGGGGCCCAGCTGCCTCCTGCCGAGGGCTACCCCTGCCTGCAACAGGAGGGTGGGCCTGGGGAGAAGCGACGGGCATATCGCTCCCTCTCTGAGGGCCTGCAGCCCCTCGCCCACCCTTACTCCTACGAGCTGTCCCACAGCCCTAGCAAGCGGGAGGACCTGATCTACAAGTCACCCGGCTACCGGGAGCTGGTGATCTTGGAGGATGAGCCCTTGTGCGATGTGGAGCTGTGCCCATGCCCCGACTGCCAGGAGAAGGCTCACGAGGAGGCTGGCCTGCCCCCCACTGCTGCCTTCTATGGCCTGCGTCTGGGCAGCCGTGAGCCTGAGGAGTGGGGTCTTGAGAGCGCCAAGTCCCCCCAGGCAGGGCACCCCAGCCAGCCCATACCCCTGCTGATGCCAGCCACCTATGGCCAGCGCAACCGGGGGCATCACGAGGTGTTTGACTTCGAGCCCGCCCACGGCAAGATGCCAGCGCACTTCGGCCATGGCTACCCCTGCCCCTGCAAGCCCAGCTCTCATCAGAAGGGCCACAAGGGTCTGGAGAAGAGCCTGGAATCCTTCCACTACCGCTACGGCCTCCCCTACCCTGCCCTGCTGACCCAT